GCGTAAATTTCGCCGTATTAATAGAGTTTGCAAGATTTGCAGTTTCTGCATCCACAGCGAACTTTAAAGAGGCCCCAGGACGCTTAGTTCTCTCGAAATAGGTATATTCCTCTATAGTAGGATCATGAACAGTGGTCATAAATGCCTTAGAAGCCATATCACAAAATGCGATACAATTAACGCTGCTAATCACGCAATTAAACTACTCTTCATAGTCATTTTGCTTCATTATTACATCTCAGAGATAAGCCAGCTCTTTTGGTATCCCTGACCCTGCTTTTGCTGTTCCATTAGCACCAATCCCAAGCTCATATAGCTATTGATAAAGCTTGCGAGTTGTAAAGAAGTTATCTAGATGTAGAACGTAAAATAGCCTAGGGCGTAGAAATCGAGCTAAAAGGGTCTCTGCGAAATCTAGTATAATTGCCTTACTCTGAGAGAAATCAGGATACTGATCTAATTCAGCTACCTTTTCTATAGCACTGCTGAATCTGAAATCAATTATATAGCTGTTAGAGTAATAAAGGCTATAGATCTTGTATCCCTGGCTAGCAGCCTTTGAATTCATCTGAATTATGTGCTTTAAACGTCCTTTAAATTTGACTAATTACTTATTAATAAAGAGATTCTATAGTAATTTGTACACCTGCAGAGTTGTAGCATTTCGAAACTAAGTAGCAAGAGGCTCAACCTTTTTGTACTATTGATTATCAGAAAGAGGTCCTAGTTGATTGAGCTTAAGATATCTCGAAATCTGCTGGAATCTGTATATGGATATGTACTCAGCAACTAGCTAATAAGGATAATTCTCCTTCTGGTGCTAATAGTAGGCGAGATCTCTGCTGCCTGGCTGTACGCTAATAAGAAGTAAAGCACTAATATAACCTCCAATATCTGCAGCTGTTATATCTATCTATTCTCGTTGATTTTGATCGAATTCTTGAGATCTCTCTTCAAATGCGTATTTATTAGTATGCTCTGTGATATCTACAAATAGCTTATTCAGAACAAATCAATAAAATAGATTAATTGGCTTATGTTCATACAGAGGAAGTTTGGAGTGCCCTAGCGTATATGGGATCGGAACGTTCAGTTTCTCTGGGTAAGGTTGATAAGGACCTATTTGCTCGGCAAGAATTTGCAGCTTTTTTGGCTTGTTCTGAGTAGATTCAACTTGTTTCTGCCAATCTTCCTTCTCTTTGCTATGCTGTATAGATTTGCTAGCTCTCTGGGAGCTGTTTTGGCGATTTGGTGGCTGTCGGCGTTTTGATTGAGATAGGTTATTTCCAGTAGATGGTGAATGTTCACTGCGTAGTTGTTCGCTTAGAGTCGTACAAGTAGGCCGCAAGGAAAGTACTTCGACTAGCTGACTTTGTGCTTGATTTTCTTGAGCTTTTCGGCTCTGAATTCGTGCTCTTTTGGGTCGAGGGCAGTCCTTAGCCAATGGAGCAGCTTCGATAGTATCAGTAGGTCCTGAAATCTCCTCTTGATGGCGTTTTTGAACCATTTGCTATGGCTCAATAGGTATATTCCTATCCTCTTACTGCCTCATAGGGGAACTGAAAATTTAAGGTTTAAGGTTGCGGGAACTAACCGTATTTGGTTTACGCTGGTGGGCCTCATTGACCAATGAAAAAACGGGTCCATTTAATGTCAGAATGGTGGATAGTATATAATGGCCTGTTTTATTAGCAAGGCTTAGCGTTTCACCATTTCTAGCCCCCACCTCGGTTCTTCGGTTCCGCTCAGCTTCTCCACCCCGCATTTCTCCGCTGCATATCATATTACGGAACGGCCCTGCAGTATTAGATAATCTGCTTTACTCGAGTCAGAACAAGACCTCTTACCTTATCTTAATCCAACCCATTATTGTTTCCTCCTTTTTGCCCTGGTCGACCCCACAGTGGACCACTTATTCCAAGAATGACCCCTTCTGCAACAGCAAGTCAAAGTAACGTTCTTTGGGGGCGAGAGAAGCTTCGCGATGTGCTGATCCATTGGTCATACGTCACACTCAATCTACTCGAGTACGGAAGGAATATTCCGTTCCGCACTAAGGAATAGTAGTGATTATCCATTCATATCATCCTTCAGCTTCTTCAGCCCCCACATGAGGAGCAGAAGATGAAGTTACAGCATGAGCATGGAATGAAACGGCAGCCGTGGGAACTCTCGGTTTCTCCTCCATGATGAAACCCCTGCAGTGAAGAATCAAGAACCTGCTCATATTTACTCAAGTATTCTGAAGAAGCGATATCCGTAAAAGATCGTGCAGATATAGGGTTTTCACATGCTCGAGGAGACACGAGAACATGCTTGTGAAAGTTCTGCATCGGCAAAGGAAGAAGACTCGTTCTAATCCTACACACCTGCCTCACTCATATTCATACTTGAGCTTGATGTACCAATTCCGAAGACAAATTCTCACAAGTCAAGGACCCATCACACCCTAACCCTCTACCCTTCCCCACTTTAAACCAAGAAAAGGTAACCAAAGAAACTGATATCGCCTGCCCATGAGGCTCAAAAACAGTAGCCATGAGCACATCAAAGCAGAACATCCTGAGATTCCAGAGTAGAAGTCTCGACTTCTACAGATCAAAAGGAAAAAGAAGAGCATTTCCACTTGCAGTCCTGACCATCTGCTCGTCAAGGAAGCAGCCCTCAGGCTTGGCGCTATGAGAGTCCCCTCCGTGGTATGAGCGGCTGGAAGTGGCATTCAAAGGAGGGCGTGTGCGCGCAATAAGTGCTAGCTGCGGATGACCAGGAGATGAAAAGCTAATCTATTGAGGAGGTGAGAGGAGCGGTACTGGTTTTGGTGCTGGTGCTGGTGCTGGTAACGGCCGGAGAAAGAGTTGAGCAGAACAGATACCCCAAAATCACAAGCATCAATCTCTATAGCCTCACATTACCTCCTTACCACGTCAACAGTCAACCACATGAGGAGCAGGAAATCACATATCCACGAAAAAACCAACAGGGCTCGTTATGATCTATATATCCGTACCCATACCAATACTCGGACCTCTAGCCAAGCCAATAGCAACCGAGTTAGACTACCTTAGCAATTACTATCAAAGGATTTCCTCCTGTCCGTGTCTGCCATCCTTCCTTTCTTTCTGTCTTATATCCAGACAGAGACAGTAGCAGTAGCAGTAGGGGTTAGTTTGGTGAAACGATTTCTTTATACATGAAAATGAACCAAAAAAAGGGGGAGCGAGCAGCGAAGCAAGTGAAGCAACGAGCAAATCAAGCCGGACTGGCAATATGCCCTTCTCCTCCCGTACAAGCCACATCAATCAACCCCAGCATCATCCACAAGATGGGGAGTCCTTTAATGAGAATCCAAACAATTATGCATCCAGTGGCCAAGAAACGAAAATCCCTATGCGCAGCGAGCCTCCAGCTTCATTTACTTTATTCCTCAACCACCTTCCCAACATTATTACTATTATTACCTCTTTGCCTGCGGCCGCGTTTATCACCGCCTTTGGTGGGCGAGGCACTGCGCGGTGATTCCCTGCTTGGCTTCCTGCCCCATTTGCCAAGTAAACTGGTCCTCTTTTTATCTTTCCCGGGATTGCTCACCTCGCTCTTGTCGGTGACGCCGCTGGTGCCTGTATTGGGCCTGGACTGCCCATTTGCGGCTCCGTCCTGGTCCAGATCGTGTCGCTTGCTGTCGGAAGCCTGACTGGCCTTGGCGAACCGTTCGGAGTTTATGTCAGCCCCAAGACTATCAGTCAGTCTCTTTTCGAAATCTTCATGCGACTCGCTCCTCCTAAGAGGCGACCGTGGCCCAACAAAGCTGCTCACCTCTGGAGAGTCCTCAGGTGCTGATACCGCTCTTTCACTTGTGCTTGTTCTCCCGCCTGTCAGAGACCCGATGACTGTTTCGATAAAAGAGTGCCTCTTGTTAGTCGTACTGCTGACGGCTGGAGGATTGCTCGCACCATCCAAAGGTAGACCATTTGGACGCGAGTCCTTGCCATTCACGCTGACACGCTTTTGATCCAGGCTAGCAGAACGTTCCTGCGACGGGGTGGTGATCAGCGTGTCTGGGTCGACATTGTCGTATGGCGGAGTGGATGCTCTGACTGCGTCAGCCGAGGTATCTCCTGCGGAATTGAATTGCGGCATGGTGGTCGAGGTGGAAGCCTCCGGAAGCGGCACATCCTTGGTGATGCCATTCGCTCTAGGCATGATTGCTCCGCTTCTATCGTCACCAGCTACTCGATCATAGCCTCCTCTAAGGGAGAGACTTCTCGATTCCTCAATAACCTCTGAGTGAAGTTGCGGGTGCGGTCTCGCATTTTCACCACGCCGTGGGCCGGGTTCCTGGAGCTGTTCCGGTGTCAGACTGCCCTTTGTATTTCTCAAAAAGTTCAGGCTAAGACGATGGTTCGAGCGATCCGAGCGGGATCTACGTCCGCCACTTTCGATATTGGGTTCGGGACTGCCGGCGCGGTTTGGGTCAGCGTTTCGAAGCTGAGTAAGAGTGGTCAGGCTTAATTTACCCATTATTGCCGACGCAGGTCTCTCTGGACTGAAGCCGGGGCCAAGGCGATTGGTAGTCTCGGAAGAGCTTTTCCGAGACTGATGATCTGAGGTGTTTGGAAAATGCAGCTCTGGTGGCTGCGCCTGAGAGCGAGATGGTGGAGTTGGTAGGCGAACATCCTCTGGATAAGCTTGTTCGAAAAGCCTAGACAGATCTGTGCGCGTCGCCTGAAGAGAAGGTCGTGTGTAGAGGCTGAGACAGTGCTGTATTACTGTCGCGTGATCAGAGATCGCCACCTGAAGAGCATGAAGTAGAGGATCTGGCGGACTGGGTGAGTCATCAGCTTGTTTGTTGTCGTCTTCATTGGCATCTTCGCCGCCCTCATCTTGTCTTCTGTTCCTTTTATCTTCTGGGTTTGGCAAGAACTGCCGGTAATGGGCAACACAAGTTCCATTGGACGAATCGAGAATGAGAAGCTGGCTGAGAGCTTCGGTCAACGCTCCATTATTTGGATCTTCGCCAGCCATGGCTCGCTTTTCCAGAGCCAAAAGATCGGCCGTCTTCCGCCATGTCCGCTCGAGAGCTGTCTGCAGGGGAGTGAGACTGAGTTCTTCAGTAGCAAGGACTTCGCTCCTTCGAAGTAGGTTAGGGAAAGGTTCTGCCGTGGTGTAGACAGTCTTCTCAACAAACTGTTCCTTGACATCTGTGCCAGTAGCAGGTCTCTTTGAGGTTACAGAGAACTGATGTGGCATTGACACAAGGATGTATTCTCGAATCGAGTGTGGTACCCTAGAGCGCTGATAAATGGGGTGATTTAGATGTCGATATGGACTGACACTTGATACTTGTAGGTATTGTCCTTCGGAGTTTTCAGCTTGATTGGATTGAGTGACCGAGGCACTAGGATATTGCTTTTGCATGCGATCTGTAAATGTGGCCATTCGCTCATTGGGTGAACCTTCGAAAATGTATTGTTTGTCACGGATTGAAGATGGAAAGCCGAGTCCACGATAGTGTACTCGGAAGTACCTGGGATACTGCTTCTCTTGTGTGGCAATGGCCTCGTTGATCTTGCCCATAGATCGTTGTGCGCGAGCAAGTTTTGAAAAGTCGAATGTGGTATGCTCGTACTGATTTGCGAGTTCCTGGTAACTGGCCAGTGCGAGATTCCAAGCTTTGCCATCCTCGTAATGCTCAATCATGTTGAAATACAGTGCTTCTCTACGCTCGAAGGAGGTCTGCTCTGGGAACGGCGGATTGCCAATGGCTGGCAGAACTTTGCTTGTATCCCAGGTATACAGGTCGGCATGCGATTGAAGAGCCAGTCCAGCTTCGGTGGGATATCGTGCATCTTCCTGCATTCTGGCGAGCTCATGTACGTAGCGAATGAATATATCTTCCTTCTGCATGTCTTTCATGAATTCCATTAACCTCAACGTATCCAAGCTAGACTCAACCGAGTCCCCATGAGCTGCAACAAGGAGGTCCATTAGCTCGTCGATCGTCGCCACAAGCTCTTTAAGCGCAAGCCAGAGAGCGTCGTCGGGAAGATTGGCAATTGGCTCGAATAGGTCAAGCAATTCTCCAATAAATAGCTTCTGGGTAATGCTTTCGTTGATGTTCTTGCTTTTGAAGATAAGATCCAAGCTGGCTATCATTTCTGTTTCGATCAGGCCCAAGTCCTCACTCAAAGCCCATTCACTAACGATCATCGTCTGCAACACTTCCACAGCCACTCGGCGCAGTCCCTCATGGGCACTTAAGCAAAGCTCGACGATCGGGTACACAAGACTGGGAACGTACTGGACTTGGTAGCCTCCTGACCTTCCAAGACCATATCTTCGAAGCTCATCAGAATTTGTCTCCCAGCCTATTGCCTCCCAGCAACGTCTGAGAAGGTTCGCACCTTGTTCACGAACGTCTCCGGCAATCTTCCAGACAGCCCTTCGCTTCTGCTCAGGGAATGTCTCGAGGGCTAGTGCGTCACTGCTAACTAGCTTGAGCAGTGTCATGAAGAAAGCTTTCCAGATCTCCATATCAAATTGCTCTGCAAGATCGGGAGGTGGCAGAAATGAACTTGCAAGTAGATTGTACATGTATTCAAGAGCTTGCATGGTAGAGCGGTGGTGGTAGATGTGTAAACTCAACCATGACCGGGGATACGCAGTGCACTCGAGCACAGATCTTTGAGCATCAAGGGTGGATAGAATGTACGTTGATAGTTCCTGGTCAGGAAGTTTGATCGATGCAGGAGGAGGTATCTTAGCGATTGAAGACATCAACGCAGCCAGTTCTAATAGTGCCTCGTCGAAAATTTGCTTGCCATTGATCTGTTTCGAGGCGAACGGATAGGTTTTGGAAAAGAGAAATGACAGCGAGCTCTTTTCAGTTGTCCCCTGTGCTGCAATCGCACAGTATGAGGCAACAATTTTCGGCATGAAATCGTAAAGGATGGAGTCTGGCTGGCGCAGTAACTCGGCTACCACTGACCCACAGAGACGGACCTGATCTTTCCATTGCTCGGTGACCTGGCTTGTTGCACCCCAGTATGGCGATAACCATGAAAAGGTGTTTTCTATCAGAATTTGCCGGTCCAATGGCGCCGAGAACAAATCGTCAAGCTGAGTGAGATTTAGGATGAGAATAATCTTATAGAGAACAAGTCGACCCGTGACGTCTTCACAAGAGTCAACGAAACGGATAGCTATGTCAACTGCCTCGTCCTTGGGGAACGCCGCAAGGAGCTCGGGCAACCATGTGTGAAAATGCTGAACAACCAAGGTCTTGCTCCCAATAAGGACTGGAGCTTGATTTCGCATTAAATTCTCTAGGGCCTGAAAGATCGACTGCATTTCCTCGGTAAAACTTTTCTGGATACCAGTAATGCCAATTCCTTCTTCTTTGAGCTTCTGCTGTTCTCTCGCAATGATTATGAACTTGAGTATGTGCTGTCCGACCTTGAAAGCAGCCCGAAGGTAACGTGCTTGTTGCGGAACTGTGGCGTTTCTGAGAAGTCTGGTGTAGCTTCTCATCAGACATGAAGTCGCAAATGGAAAATCAAACCTATTTCTCGCATATTGGTCGACCAGTGGACCGAGTTTGAATCTTCTATCGTGCACGATTCCCAGGACGGTCACAAGATCATTGAAGACAATGTCCTCGTAATCAGCTTCTCCTGACTTGTGCACGGCAATGGCGAAAAGAGCATCAAATACATCGCTCAATTGCTTCACGATCTCGATCTCGGGCACGAAAACAATCTTCTTCAAAAGGTCCATCAGTTCCGTGGATGTCTGCTGCTTCCAGTTGATCAAGCCTAGAATGACTTGGTCTTGAGAATACTCTGTGCTACAGAGATTGCTTTCTACGACCAATGTCGCAACAGGACCAGTCACACTTTCGTCCTTTGAGACCATCGTCTTTCCTGTTGAGTCCCAGGGAAGAGACAAGTAGGTGCCTTTGCCATTGACGATACTCGATGTTGTCTTGTCGTATGCGTGCATGATCAAAGTATGATTGCCGTCTTTCAGGAAAGCTTGCTGATCCCAAAGAGGCATCCAGCTCAGCGCAAAGGGAAACTCAGGTGCATCCGCTACACTCATTATCAAGTGTGATCCAGGAACCTTGTCTTTGGGTATTTTCAGACAAATTGTCTGGTCCCATTGCGTACCGACCTCGGTGACAGTGGTCCGCCAGGCGGTGAAACCGGTACTGTTAGAAGAAGGATAGATACAATGTTCGATTCGCTTGCCAGCCCCGTCACGTACCTCCATGGTGAGTTGAAGGTTTCGCATAGTAGAAGCGCCTGAGATCGGTACGAGGCCAAATTCTGGATGTGAAAGAAGGGCATCTCGTGGCATGCTGGCTTCAGAAAGCGTCAGATAAATATCTGATCTGGGTCTGGTGGGTGCTTCCGAGAACCCAATTTTCTGCGTCCGAGTGACCATATGCATAGAAGTAGGATTTGTTCGCACTAGCGTGTCCGCGTCAGATCCGACCAATGGATGAAGGTGGACATGAACCCGAGACGCTTTGTCCAACCGAATGTATCTTCCTGTTGGGCTGGGTAGGATATTGGTGATGTTCTTGTCGAAAGTATGTCTGTATTCGTCCTCTTCGTCATGCACAGCTGCAGGTGACCAGATGTTAAGGATCTGCTCAACATCCTTGTCTTGTCTCATTAGCGCACCAATCTCTAGCAAACCCACACCTACAGTACGCACAACAGGCGGACCAGCCACTTTGTTCCGCGATGGAGCTTCATTACGTGCCTCAACCGTGGCTGAAGAAGAGCGTTCTTCCGGTTGAGGCGTCATTCTACCATCTGATACAGAGCCAATGCCTTCTTTCGAGCCGGCCCTATTCCTCTTTACTCCAAACATAAGACTTCGCCGTCCTCCCTTTGAACCGTCCAGCGGGGGACTATTTAAGGCGCTTGGGCTCTTGGTCGTCAGAACACTTTCGCTAGCGTTGGCCTTGCCCTTCGTATTTGAGCGTGCTCTTGGGGCCTGACTTTCCTTGACCTTGACGACAAGAAAAAGCTGCTGTTTTTGAGCTTGACCGAGATCACCAATATCTCCGGCACTTAAATCAGTAAAGAGTGTTTTGAGCTTACTGCTTCGTGCCATGCTGGCTAGGGACTCAGATGGTGCTATATCTAGAGCAAACGTCTCGGACAAGGGCGACAGCTTGCCGTCTTCTGCTTTACGACACAAAGCCATTGTTATCGTCACAGTGTCCAAATCTGCCCCAGGAATGCCCTTGACTTCTAATAACAAATGATGTAGACCAAGACCTTCAGGGTGCGCAATCTGGCCAGTTTCGAGAACACTCATTACAGATTGTAGCTTTGTCATGTCGATTGCTGAGTCGTCACCTGTCAAAAGTCGCCCTCGCTGTGCAGGATCTCGAACAATCACCTCACCACTCAGCATCTTGTTGCCCTTAACTAGGTTCCATGCCGTCTGCTCTCGAATAACAGATCGCTCTTGCGCAGTGAGAACATCGTGGAGAAGCTGCCGCCGCGCCAGATCCAACTGTGAGACTATGGTAGACATCTTCTCCAAGGAGCCATACTGCCGGTTTAGGAGCAGCTCATGTAGATTTGTAGAATGCCATTCTCGCAGGCAAGATGCGATTTCGTCAACCAGAGGCTCTCGTACCGAGGTAGGCGTCTCGTCCCCAATCTTGAGCATGGGGACTGGCGCAGGGGGTTTGGAGGTATGAGGACGATCTGTAGGCCATGTTTCTGGTGTAACCGGTGACCCGGGGCTTTTTTGAGATGGAGCTTGTTCATTACCATTTAATCTAGGATCCTTCGGCCGCGCCCGTCTGGTGTTCGTTGTCATATCCAAGCTCTTTCTGGAATCCATCCTGCCCGTGACTTTGATTTCCCCTCCATTCTCTAGCTGTGCTGGCCCCCAAGTATCTTGCATTCCGCTTGTAGTCATATCAGTATGCTTCATAGCACCAATATCTCCAGCCGGCTGATTTCGTGCCAGATCCGTCTCCCCCAGTTCCTCTCGAACCTCCACACAACATTTTGGAAAGATGCCAGAAAAAACCCGTGCTTCCAGGGTCTGGCCTTTGACACTAGTGAGGCCAGCAAGCAGACATGGAGGCGCCACCAGGTAGCCACGGTACCAAGAACCATCTTTTCCACCTTGCTCAATTATGTAAAGCTCATCACCGAGCTCGAGAGGTAGATCTGACGGAGAGGAGGGCTGGAATGGATATGTAGCAACTGCAAAGGCGATACGCGGAAGTGGCCGCCAGGGCATGACTTGAAGGATAAAGACGGGTCTAGAAATTAGCTGGTGAAAGCGCTGAGGAGAAAATGGATGGTCGCATATGCTGGCGGTCGCTCAGTAACCCATGGGGGGTGTAAAGAGGTCTCGTAGAGTATCGTATAGATGGAAGAGTCAATGCGTCAATTACACTGGAGGGACGAATCCGTTCTGCGGGCTCTCAAGGCTGCGCTGTTCTTGATATTGAGGTGCGCAGCAGAAAGCGATGGTACTGCTCAGTGAGCCTTGTGCAGTCCGTGACTACTAAGGAAAGACCGTTAGAGACTCTGTTGCTGCTCGAAAGAATGGAGGTATCCAACACAAGCCAAAGACAGTGTCGAGGAATCAGAAAGAAAAAATGAGGACGGCGGTGCGGCGATGCAGCTGTGTAACGGCGGAGATGCACGGGCCCAATTGGGACTGCAGGTTACTTAACAATCGTGCCCCGATTCGCACAAGCTCCAAGATAGTAGAGGATGAATTTAGGTGCTGCTACATGCGATAAGCACAAGCGAACCCGGCCAAACCCTGCCCTTAGAGTCAATGTTTCAGAGTCAATTTCCCGTGCTGCTGCAACCACTATTGATTCAATCGTTCCATTTCCAATGATACACCAAGGATCATGAGAAAGACGACCACTAACATTACAGGCACGATTTGAGGAGCTGGGCTCATAACATTTCTCATCTACTGATATTCACATTGTACTAGGATACTAGTATTGGATCATGATAGACGATTAAATGATAGATGCCCATGTCAGTGTTCATCTGTAAACCCTGCAGTGTTGATTCGGCCCTGTGGATGTCTTAGATAGTGCGTCTAAATTGGTTAACCTGGAACCCAAGATCGACCTCGGTTCAGTTAAGCACTGTCGGCGAGTTCCCGAGTGAAAACCTTCTACCGCAGTGCCCTGAGAGAGAGTTATGAGTGGCGCCGCTTGATAGCTAGCGCAGCGCTAGCAGATTTCTAACCTCGTGAAAATCGCAAAAATGCAGCAATGTTTCAGGATCCAACGAGTATAAGTAGGTCATGCCGCCCTATGAGCAGAACAGCTGTGCGGACAATCAGCATGCATCAAAGCACGATCAGCCCACAAGCTTCCCTGCAATGCATGATCTCGAGGTCACAAGATTGGTGTTGGAGAAGCGGACACACTGGACAAACCTCACAAAGATGGATTCATTGCGAGAATGATCTAGACGTGTTCAAATTTCAAAATAAGCTGATTGCTGCGCGGCCTTGTTGTATAGGCGTCTATGGCTTCTATGCCTTCATCGCTGATGATGCTCGTTGTGTAGTTGGAGTAAACGGCAGCTACAACCAGCTTTATCTCTATCGCAATGTATCAGCATATGAGCTCCTGACTGTGCAAAAAGCCTGTCTTACCTTGCATTGCCAGATTACTCCCGATACACATCCTCCCGCCACTACCAAATGCCCAAAACCAGCGCAACATCTCCTTTAACTCTGGTGAGTCGGTCGGTTTGAGCCATCTGTCAACTCTCCATTTCTCCGACTCGGGGAATACGTCTTCATTGCGATGAAGAGCATATGCCATGGCACTTACGCGGACATTGGCGGGAATATTGCTGTAGCCAGCAAGAGTGCAACCACCATTTGGTGTGACTCGAGGCTCTATGCCTGGAATTGGTGCATGCAGACGCAAGGTTTCCATGATGATGGCGTGCAACAGGGGAAGCCCATCGATGGACTTCGAGGACGGCAAATCGAACTCCTGCTTCCTCTCAGGAGGCCAGAGAATTCGGGGTTCAAGGACAAGAACTTCATCATGAAGCTTTCGTTGCAGATCCGGATGTTGGGACATCTCCCAAAACAGGTAGGTCAACGCTATTGCGCTGGTCTCATGCCCAGCCCCAAGGTGATCCAGCAACTCCGAGGCGATTTCAAGGCGCATGCGATCTATTGCGTACGTGCCTAACCCCTTTGCTTGATTCTTCTCTAGTGCGGCCTTGAGATGCTTGTAAACCACAGGCTCAGCCCCAGTTGATGTTGTGCCGTTCAAATACGAGTTGGCACCGTCACACATCTTCAAGAACCAAGCTTCAATCCTTTCGTTCGCATCATCGACCCATTGAGGCACTATAGGCAAGCCAATCTTTTTGGTGACTTGCTTCAATCCTGGGACTTCCTGTGAGTAGAACTCATAATGCCTCCGACTGTGATACGGAACCATAAACTCTCGGGTTTCCACGTGATTGATGGAGAACTTAGTTGAGTTTGCAATGCCAAACAGGTAAGCAGAGATGAAATCCATTGTGAATTCATTGTTCATTTCGTGTACTTCCACCGCAGTGCCTCGCTCCGCCGCTTCCTGCAGCGAGGGAAGAAACCGGTCCCTCAGCAATTTCACAGAGTTTTCTGTAATCTGTGGCGAGCCTTGGAGAAACGATTTTGAGTACACGTTTGACAACATGCGTTTTCTAGCAGAATGGCCATGTTGTTCTACTGTGGAGAACATATTGACTACACTGCCTTTGTCTCAGCATGACAATTAACAAATGCTCTTACTTCTTACCCATAAGCAGTGAATTGGTCTGGATACCATCTATGTTTCTCCATTCCTCCTGCATAAATCGTTCGGATTCCACCATCCACGCAATTGACGGAGATCTCATTGGGTGCAAGTCGTACAATTGGCCCATGTTTCCGATGAGCATTGTATGTAGATACATTGTTTCTGCCTCGAAATCGAGTCCAGAGAATCCATGCTGGCGATATGGACGAAGTGAAATGCGCATTGGGTATCTTGGCTAGAGGAGAGACAATAGCAGGGTAGATGACGTATCTATATAATGCAAGGACTAGGAGCGCGCAGCCTGTTGAGACGGAGAATATGGGCAAAGCCATTACGAGGATCACCAGATTTCACGGAGGGGGGTGCCATAGAAGCAAGGGAGAATCGGACTGGAGCTGCAACAATAGATAGTGACAGAGGAGGCTTGATATTTATTGCCTGTTGCAAAAGTGTTGCAAATCCTTAGCGTATGCCGTAGAGCTGCTGCTCCTCTGTTTTGTTCAAACAGCTACAGAACGTTGTATAAGGATCCAGAATCTATAATACTACTATTAATAAATAGCTAAGCTTTATCTGATTCTTTTGATATAGATTTTATATAAGAAGAGTCTTTATTAAGTAGGTATACTTTCTATATAAAAGATTATCTACTCATTCTATAAGAGTTAGGCTTTTAGAACAGGAAAAGAAGCGTAATTGTAAACCAGCAGATCTATAGCTACTGAATGACATAGCGTTCTTATTATTCTGCTTGATATCTTTAGATCCAGTATGAACAGCTGAAGCAGCAGCAACTCTGAAGTGCGTGCCAAGGAAGTGCAACACTTTTGCGATGGGCAAAAAAGGGAAGTTCTTTATCAGCTGAGCCCGTAGAAGAAGATGGATATAGACGATTATCAAGCTGTCAAATCACGGCAGTACAATGTCCTACGGTCTGCTGGCTTGAAACGATCTTAACGATTAAACGACCTCTTGATAACTGGGGACTTCATTTACTACAAATTGACAAATCCACATTACGTATCGTCTCCGCATGCCAAGCCCAAACCTCCGGGTTAGTACTATCAAAGAGGTGTGCGATGGAATCGCCGAGGGATTTTTCATTATGCAGATGTCAAATGCTTGTTTGGTTTTGCATCGTGAACATACATCGTATATTTTGGGTATCATAAAATTTTGTCGTACAGCTGTGGTGGCCGACTTCCGAGATCACAGCAACAACGGTGCAAATAACATTCAGTGTCAGAAAAAGTCAGAAGCTTTTTTAACCCAACTTTGGGGTAACGTTATATCTTTTGCTGCCAGGGACTGCCGACGCAGAGGTAACGCAGCCCTGGGTACTGCGGGCAGCGGACAGCTTGGAGGAGGACCAGCAGGAGGTCCGAAAGTCGTGTTCACATTTCTCTTACACGCCTCCACCGAGAATCTGACATCAATGCGATGCTTCTGTATGGCCTCTGCTGGTCTTGTGCATTCTCGAGCGGAAGAGTAGCGGCTCTGCGGGCGTGCGGGAATTTGCGTTACAGACATTGGCTCGGCTTGGAGCTGCATACTGGCGGGACGACGAACGTCGATGTCCAGCGAGGGCGGCTTGAACAAAGCCATCGTGGGCAAGTGTGATTGCCTAAAACTCCGCGAGTACTCCAGAGAGGAGTACCTTTTAGGTAATTGGCGAATAGATTCGGATGTGGACGAAAATAGGTTCGAGGGCAACTCAGGTGCAGTATGTCGGAGAGAGAGTAATGTTGATAATGGAGCAACCGTAGAAACTCGGCGCTCATCCATTTGAGTGTTTTGGTCCTTTGGTGGGGCGCCATGCTGTTGCACCTCCTCAGCTATCTGATCAGAACCCTGATCCATGTCCTGCTCAATCTGAGGCATGGAGGAGTTTCTTCGTGCAGCTGGCCGTGCTTGCAGCGAACCTTGTCGAGAATTTCTTGCTACTGTTGGCTTCGCATCAATAGAACTGCGCCTCGTGATCTCGGCAAACATCAACGAGAGTCGGGATTGTCTCTTGCCATGTTGAGAAAAATCGACTAAAGAGGTAGGACCTAAATCAGGAAGCTCTAAATATGGAACCTCTGTCATAGCAAACTTTTCTTGGGCTGGTGATGAAGGAGCCGAATCGAGAAGACTAGTCGGTGTCTCTGCAACAAATGAGGTGTTGGAATGTTTCGAATTCCGGAGTCTTTCGAGGTCTGTTGCCGAATACGTGGAACTCTTCGTGGATAGACGTTCTTCAATGGCTATTTCCATCGACTCTGCCGACCCGAGTTCTTGAGATAACTGACATGCATCCTTTTGAACTAGATAACGCTGGCTGACTGCTGGCTGCGCAGAAGGTTTTGGTCCGAAACTAAAAATTTCAGGGCTGTATGGACGCCCTCCAAGGCTTCCAATCATCTTTCGCAGGGCCGATAACCATGAGTCAAGATCTTCTGGAGTCTCAAAAACCATCAGGAGGACCTTGGCTGAACGACGAGCGCTTGCGGTCCTGATACCTATCCGAGATAAAATACCTTTGGATGAGTTTAGATCTGCTTCTCCATCGTCACTACAAGATTGCGATACATGCAATACAAAGTGACGACCTTCGATAGCATCACTGGCAAAGGCTGCGGAGTCCTTGCCAAGCTGTAGAATCTTTTCAGGTCTCCTGTCAAAAGCTCCTTCTCCAGCATACTGTAAAAGTTGTCCAGACGTGGTCAAGACGTAGACCTTCCGAGTCCATTCAGCGTTCGCAACCGAGGCCGAGATCCGGCGCGGCCGTCGAGGAGTTGATGTGCTGTCAGCTGGAATGCTTGGGGTATTTTGCACCGAATTGTGAGGTCGGGTTGTACTTCTCTGCTCGTTCAAGCGGATGATTGATGGAGCGGAAAGCGTTGAAGCTTCAAGGCTGATGTGCTTAAGAGATTGATGATAGGCTTGGAATAGAGGGGGAGGAGCCCAGGAAGCATCGATGTTCTTGGTCGAAAGGATATTCGTGTGATTGTCGGATAACGTTTGATTGCTCTCCGAAGTTGTCGCTAGCGTTCTTGTCGGTCTGTTCTGGGAGAACAGTTCTCGAAGTCCTGCTTTCGACTGGCGTCGTGCAATCCCTGGTAGAAGCAAGGTAGATTCGGATCGAGACATTGAATCTGGTGGCTTTGGTCGCGGTGTTGGCGCCTCTTTAGCCGTGGCCACTGAACGAGGAGGAGTCGGTGACAGTGCTCCATGGCTTCGATTTCGCCCCATGGTGAGCGAGAAGATGCTGTGAAGAGCTGTCGATCCTAGCACGTACACAGCAACCACGGTCGATTTGCTCGTGTAAACGGACGCTTTGGATGTTCAGAGACGCCGTGGTGAGACCTAAGCAGGATGATTGGTTGCGAAAGACGCTCTCCGAATGATGCTGATGAATTTGATGAACCGTGTGAGGAGCGCGCTCTGAGCCCGGGACAATGAAGAACAAACAAACTTCATGAATGCACCCCGTGACAGCCACACAACACACGGTCGTTGAAACTATCGCGTCAGAAGTCCAGATCCTTGCGCTTTAGTGGCCTCCGTGAAACAACGGCGGGAAAGGTGCAGTGGAGGTGGCCAAAATGCCTGACAGGGATCAGCCACGTTGCCGAGTTTGCGGCTGGTGATCGATTCCTCGCTCAAGGTGGGGAGTAGCGTACCAAATACCCAATGCCTCTGATATAGTAGTCATACGACTATCAATAAGGAGCAACAACGAGTATGAGCCTTAACGTAAGAAACAACATGCGGAGGAAGAAGAGCCGAAAAGGGAGCCAAACACGGCCCAGCAATGGCTCCGTAGGTGTATTTAGTTATGAATTATGCGTGCTGAAAGGAGGATTTTCATCTGCTGCCCAACACGACTCTCACAGCCGGGTAATTAGGGGCAAGATTCTGGGGTAGCTCTTCCTTGTCCAGCCTTGAGATTGGAGCATGGTTGGGCTGGGGTAGATGGAAGAGCACTAAAAGGGGGGAAGGGGAGAGGAAGAAGATCGAGGCTGCGGAATGCAAGGAGGTCTTTCGTTAACTTACGTACTTACGGAGTATGGATGTTGCACCTGCGTTAGTGCCTCGGCCCGCCAGATAGATGACTGCAAAAGCTGCATCCATCACATCATTCGCTCTTCAGCGGTGACCCACCCTTTATGTGCAGATCGTTCCTTACAAGGCCCCAAGTCCGGCGGCTGCCATTCCAGCCCTCTGGAAGCAACAATGACCTTGTTAGTAGCCAACTGATACTATTATTTTGCATGTAGTAGCTATAACTAGGCTATTGAGTCAGGGGCTTCATAGTGGTTGGCTTTACCAGTGACCTAGACTCCTCGGTCAATCAAGCGAGTGTGATATTGAAGTGCTTATTTATCTGACCCCGCATCCGCTTCAGCCATCCACATGAGGACGCGTAGCACCGATCAGATATAAACACCTGGCCAATACACAGAGCCGGCTGGAAAGTGAGTTCCAGCTTTGACTAGCTCAAGTAGACTTAGCGCAATGACTACGCTCGAGTAATCTTTCTCTTCCTTCGAACAGGGCACCAACTTTAAGGAATAGAGATGCACTCATTGGCTACCTGGATGTTTACACGCTCCACCAGGATCCCTGTATACTCTACCCGGACATGAAATTAGTACTGCTTCATAATGTTGCTAGAACGTATATTCCGGTGCCTTTCGTATTGCGAAGCATGAAACGGGAAGGAAATACCACCCACACCACTCCACTCAGGCGGCAGGAGATTGGGAGATTTCGGAGAGGCATTGAAGAAGTGGTGGGTCTTGTTGACACCACTTTTATCGTGCGGTCAAGATGGCAATATGCAGGTCAGGCTTGCCTTTCAATGAAGTGTTGAGATTGCGAGTTTCGTAGGAGAGCATTTCTTCCCGGCTGTTTCAAAACCGCATGGGTGATGCTCGATGCACCTTGCAAGCTATGAATGGGTTCAACTAACGTCCTTCCGGCTGCGTTTGCAACATTCACTATTGACCCTGTTTATGAGCAGATGCGAACAGCAAGGACAGCATTAAGTTCAGGGGCCATCCAACATGTAGAGCCAACAAAATGAGAACAAAGCCCATTAGAATGGGAGTGCCGATTGGTTGCTGGTCAACAGTCATGTCCCACTTCAACATGGCCAGCTCCTGCACAAACAATGCACAGAAAATGCGGTCTATGGCCAAATCACTCAGTTTCGGTGTCTCAGATGCTGACTCGTCCATATCAATCTGCTGCAACGCACATGCAGGAGTGGTTGCGGCTGCAGGGTAGGTGAATTTTCTCAATGCCATAACTAAAGTGCTCTAGTAGTCATCAAAGTTGCGATGTATGCCGTCAACCCAACCACTTCATTCGTTATTCGTCATCAGCTTCTTCAACTTGTGGTGCTTGATGGCGCTTGGTAACAGCAGTTCTTTTTGCAGTGGCCGTTGCATCAACTTCAGTTCCTGTGCCTGAAACAGTCTCGTTCTTCGTTGTCTTCGAGCCCTTTCCAGTCTTCTTGGTTTTCTTGGTTTTCTTGGTCTATACAAAAGTAGTGGAAGTCAGTAATGATGGTACGGCTTCACTCAGACATTATGTCAAGACGTTACCTCTTGCCATGCCCACAATGGTCTGAAGCTGTCAAAAAAGCCCACATCTTCGAAGAGATTGGGGTACAGCCACAAGCCCGGTGGTACCACAAAAACGGTAACGCAGAACAGTATGAGTCGAAATATAGCCATGAGGAAGAACAACCCAATCAATCCCATCATTCCTACACTCAGATACCACACACCCTGGCGTAGCATAATCGGCCACAAGGGAAACATGACGACAGCCATGATCAGGACCAAAACCCCAGCTGCCAATGCCTTTTGTTTCCATTGCGGACCTTCATAGAGCCAGACATAGTGCATCATGGGTTCAAATTCTTGATCTCTTTCTACCTTGACCGTCCATAACCCTTTTATTCGTTTTGAATCCTTGGGAGGCTTTGCATGATTGTGGCCCTCGTGCGGATCGGTCTTCGTAACTCTCAAAGCAAGCATCGAAAGTGGAAGTAATTGAACAGCATTTCTCGCCGCCGCTTCATCTTTGACCTCAGGTAGAAGCTTGTTTTTGCGCTGCGCTTTTTCGTAGGCTGGTGATTGCAATGCTCTGAACGCTCGCTTGACTAGGCAACGCGATATCAGCAAAAGTTCCATCATGAACTAGCTGACAGTACCTTTAAACATCTCCTTTCTCTGCCCATCTAGAATGCACGTTCTGGTCTTCAGATCCTGCGATCTCAGAAACTTCGCCACAGCTAAGGCCTCAGGTTTTGGGGGTGCGCCAGGGTTGACCGGTATCTTCTGGGTCTGGGAATGCTGATGATGTGGTGCTTGACCCTGCCCTTGGCCTTGCTGTGGCTGTTGTTGTGCTTGTTGCTGTCTCATCTGGTGCTCTTGGATAGCTCTTTCTTTCAGCTGGTTGACATATTGCTCAACTGTCAGGCCTTGTTTCGCGGCGTCTGCTGCTAGCTGTTGTCGTTGATGCTCTTGAAATTGTTCGGGTGTCATGCCCTGCTTCGCAGCTTCAGCAAAAAACCGTTGTTGCATTTGGCGCATCTGCTCTGGCGAAGGGCCGGTGGGTTGCGCCATGCTAGTGGGGGAAGCGACTGCAAAGCGAACTGCACGATTCAATTGACTGGCTTCAAAATCGATGCTAGACACTGAGAATCAGATTCACCCGAGCTGTCAAACTGTCATCAATTTTTTGGAATCTGCCAATATGGAGCATCGAGTCGAAAAAGCAAGAAAGAACAAGTGTCCCCGAGAAATAAATTGGAGGTGCTTCCCCACATTTGCGCCTAGAGACTAACTACGGAGTACTCCGTAGAGTCTGAACAATTGGGTCCCCAAGATACTTCAAACGATTACCTTATTATGCACAAGACCTCGTTCAACGTGCTCTTTATTGGTTGTCGCAAGGACAACAACCTACATATCTGAAGGAGATGTGTGGACGAGACTTCTACATCATGTCAGAACATATCAAGCTGGCTCTTTGAGCACAGACTAGAACAGTTCATGTCTGGACGATATCGTCCTGATGAGAGTGCATTGCCAGGCCAGCTATGGAGAACAATTCATCTGGTCAGTCTATTGCTGTTGACCCCTGCATATTCTTACAGACGTTTTCAGACAAACCGTGATCTTTCGAGCCTTGTGCCTATCAATTTTGTCACCCATGCCGGTGTCTCATTAACCTCTGCTTGCTTTGCTCATGGCATTTTTGAGGACTCGCGGGCTGAAAAATGCATTTCGAATCTGCTGGCAGCTCAATTCCGGCGGTTTATTGTGGACCTTTACTGGGATCCGAGCTCTCGCCAGTTCATGTTTTGTCCTGTTTCCATCAATTCAGTATCTCGAAGCCTGCATTCGGGCTCCCTCCCTCTCCTACCTAATACGGCAAGGTCTCGGAGAGTTCCCAATCTCTCGCTAAGCAAGCGAGCTGAAGGCACCACACTAGCTTTCGAAACACTAAGACCGAGATGGAACTTCGCCCGAAGGGGTGGACTCCGATATAATGTTCGTCAAGCGACGTCTTCCATTGTAGAGAACGCATTGGATGATACTGCTCGCACTTCGGAGTCCTCAACCACTGCAGCAGTGCCAGTCGCTACTTCGACCGATCCTTCTGGCACGACAATGGATGACATTGGCCCGGCTCAATGCAGCCCAACTCTAAACCTGTCATTCTTTGCTTCCTTGATCATGGACTATATCAACAACACACCCACAAGCTTGAATGCTAACTTATTGTTCTTGCAATTCAATGTGCATGCGGCAGATTCTGAAGACGCTTCGACCAATCCAGCGGTGGCGGTATCAGGACCTGATTTACCTTCGCCTACGGAACTTGTAGGAAATGTTCTTGATGCTGTCGCCTCGTCATTCTCTTATCAGCCTTCAGAACTCCTAAATCATCGAGTGAATCTGAATGATTCCTGGTACGCTACTGGTGCTTCGGAGCAGCCTGTTTCTGAATATTTCACTACAGAGACTTTTCCTGGCGGTCAAAGCACACCAGATGGCTGGCCTAGCGAACGTTTTGTAGAGCTCCAACGCCTCAAACGTGTCCTCCTTGGCTGGGGCATTGTTCACCGGCGTATGGAGGACTATGATTTCACCGGTGACAGTGACGTGGTTTTTCCTCAAGACTACCTCTTGTCGTCCACCGATGTCCGCCCAAACTCAACTGAACAGCCAGCTCCGGCCTGTTTCTTCAATGTTGAACAAGAAAGCGTAGGCAGGCACAATTCCTCATGGGCAGTGTCATTCCTGAACGAGAATTCTGCAAGCGGAGGCTCTTTGGACAAGCTTCAATCGCTGGCAAACAATCTGACATCCTGTGGGATTGCCCCCATACTAAATGTGACCCTGAATAACCAGACTGCCGATCAGAACTCTTCTCAGTATGTGCAATTTGTGCAATCGACGATCTGGAATTGGGCACAAGACGAGCCACGCAACTTCTCCACTTCGGATGCGAATGGCCGAGACAACGAAAGTACACAAGGCCAGTTTCGATGCGCTCTGATGGATACCTCTACAGCTAGCACTTCCGGTCGCTGGCGAGTCGAGTATTGCAGCATGCACCATCGTGTAGCCTGCCGCACAGCGAACCAGCCATATTTATGGCAGTTATCCGATGAAAGTGTTCCCTTTTCCGAAGCTGAAGTCAGTTGCAAACCCAATTCCTCTTTTTCTGTGCCTCGCACTGCATTGGAGAATACGTATCTCTATCATCACATCCTTTCTATCTCGGAGGCGGCACAGTCTAACCTATCTGGCGACGGATCTGGAGTGTGGCTCAACTTCGACAGCCTTGATACCGAAGCATGCTGGATCGCAAACCGACAGAATGGGTCATGTCCATACTTTGACGAGGAAGCCTTGCGGCAAAGGACAGTACTTGTGCCAGTAATAGCTGCGCTGGTCGTACTTCTGCTTACAGCACTGACCCTATTCGTGAAGTGCAACAAGAATCGTCGGAACAGTCGGAAAAGGGTTAGAGGGGAAGGTGGTTGGGATTACGAGGGAGTACCAAGTTGAGCAAATTTGAGCTCTCTCGAACTCAGCTCTTACCGTGTCAGGACGACGAGCAACAACAAGCAGTTAACGCATCACAGCCTTTCACCCTTTCCAATCTGTCAGAATGAATACTTTGGAAACGAGCATCTGCCCTGCTAATTACGGACTTCTAATCACAATTTATGCTATTTAATTCCTCCTTGAAGCCTACCAATTTTCGATTCTGCCAATTAGCGAATGCACTCGGCTGACGCTAACTTGAGATTGGATTCTGTCGCACGATAACAATGTGTCCAGTCCAAGGGACAGGGGATATCTTCTTACGCTAACCTTATTTGACTGTGCTTTGCGCAGCCACATACAAGCTAGATGGATGCCGGGGTATGCATTGGACATCCAGTGACAATGCCAGCACGTGGCAGGCAGGTTATAGGTTGTAGGCACGGCAGATGTGCCGCAGCACATACCACGTATATCATGTGGTGGCCGCGCCGACCAAATTGATTTGATGCATCCTTCTCAGACCCTGTCAATCCTTTTTGGCGGAATAGCAGTTCCTGGGGGATGTCTGCAGCGCTCGGCATCCACGTCAAGGAATTGACATTGCAATTTCGTTATGAATACTAGTTGCTTTAAGCGGAAGAACTTCGATGTTACTTTTATACCAGGTGATGATAACCTCCCCTCAAGTTGTGACCGGTTGGCACCAAGCTTGCAGATGCTTGCCGTAGTAATGTGGTACGAAACAATCTCTCCAGACTAGGTCCTCTACGACAGTGCCGTCGATTCGCATCTCGAACCGTCGCAACATGGTCGCGAACGCGATGTACAACTCGCACCAGGCTAGATTGATACCGAGGCAGCTTCTCGGTCCTTTGCTGAATGGCACAAACCCCTGATCTAACATATGGGAGTCACCAGCTAGCCATCTATCAGGATCATAGACTTCCGGACTCTTGAATATCTCGCTGGAATTGTGTACCAATATGCTCGACATGCCAACGACCGTCCCGGGGGGGATCTCCATACCAGATATCGTTGCGCCAGTGGCTGGTACTACACGTGTACATGGCGAGGGTACGGCCGGAGTCATTCGGAGAGCCTCCTTGGTAGCTGCTGTCAAGAGTGGTAGAGCCTCGAGCGTCTCGAGTTTCGGCGGATCGTGGAGATGCGGCCAAACTGTGAGAACCTCCTCCTGCAGCCGCGCATAGAGTGATGGCTGGCTCAAGATATGGAAGAAGCCAGTCATGAGCGTATTACCGACGGTATCTGAGCCCGCGCCCAACAAGGTATGTGCCTCATGCAGCAAATCTATCGGACCGAGTACTGGATGATCCTTCTGTGCTTCAGGATCGAGCAGGCGGTGGTAGATGATGGGATGTGGTTGGTTCTTCAGGCTTTCTGGATTCGCCATAAACTGCTTAATCTGTCTTTCGAGTGCAAGTCGGAACTTCGGCACCCCTGCTGTTGCAGGCGATACTCTGCATGCCAGCCATGGCGGGAGAGAGAAAATGGTCTTTCGAAGAAGTGGGAAATGCTTGAAGAGCATGTTTGACGAAGTTGCGGCTTGCACTGACTCTATGATTGAAGCCATGAAGCCAGGGGCGTCCATGGCGTTGGTTGAGCGTGCGAAGCAAAAAGTGGTGATTGTATCAAGAGTGAAAGCGTGAAAGGCGCTGAAAAGATCCGAGGGCACGCCGTCTTCATTGTTCTTTGCAAGCGCTCCGGCAAGGTGGTCAATCTATTCCCATTAGTCATCTGGCCTGATATTCTCATCCAGCAGCGTACATTTTGTCTAACAAGGCTCTGCATGCCAAGAATCGCACGGCGAGAGAACAACGGTTGAAGCACATCTCGCCGCAGCTTGGCTTCATTGTACGTGAGGAACCCAAAAGACGACTTCTCAACTCCGAAGCATTCATACAGGAAACTGTCTTTATTCCAACGCGCCGTTGAATTGTATATGTCATGGTATGCGGATGGTTTTGAGAAATGAAGCTACCAACATTCAGCCAGCAAATTTGCGGCTTCCTTATAATGGTGGTACAACCTCGTTGGGCTCAACGCGAACCACATCTCCTTCGACCGATTTGAGTTTTCTGAATGGGTATGGTTAAGGTGGGTACATACCATATTCCTCATGCAATCTTATCAGCACATCAGTCCAATTCTCCTTCTTGAATGCCTCGATGTATGTTCTCCACCACGTTGTTGCCGCGGCGCGCAAGGGACCAGGATACTTCCGTAGCGGGTGGAAGTAGATGTTGAAAATGAGTGTATAGAGCTTCAGCCCAAGCCAGGTAAGAACTAAAGTCCACGCAAAAAGAGATATTGGTAAAGCCATGCTGAACAATGCCAATCCCAAGAGAGGCGAGGAGATGGTCTTCACTGCGCTGGATGTGTGGCAGGTGAGAGAGAGTTCTCGATTGCGGCAGAGAGAAGGGGGGGTGTTGTCGATTCATAGCTGGTGCATGGCCCTGGCTTGTCGCACAAACCCCTCCTTCTAGACTCTCTTGCAGTTGTAAAGAGGCGGGGTATCTATCGCTCAGGGTGGTAAAGACGGACCAACTACGCTGCTGTGCCCCAGAATTTGAGAAATAAATCCCTCGCGGTTAAATTTGGATCCATGCTGGTGCGGCGCACATATCACCTCATCGATCGATCGAAACGCGAACGAGCCTCCTCATCTTCAACAATGTATTCTCACTTCATTATAATATCGAAGCACCCTTTTCTTGATAGGTGAGTCGGACACCTGACCATTCGCGTGTTCGGATTCATTGTGCTCGATCTGGGTAATTGGTCATTTTTCTTTGAACCTGCAAAGTAAACAGTTGTCTCGTTCCTAAGAAGCAAGCAGTATTACTGACTTATTACTGACTGGCTAGTTGAGACCATTTCGCGCTAGCACCAAAATAATCGTGCTAACTCTTGACAGGCGTAGCTCGTCCGCGGCCCGAGATCGTGCCCGAAGCCAATGCCTTTCCGAGACGCTACCCGAACTTTAGAAATACTAGCCGTGGCCCAATGGGTGGAGCCCCTGGGGGCCCCACTTGCAGGGGGGTACCCCCCTACAAGCCCGCGCGCAGCGCGTGGCTCTCACCGTAACGCGCAAATCAGCGTAACGCGCATCTCGATTCCACTGATTGAATTTGAATGAGTATAGACAGTGCGGCACGCGTAGAATTGGCCGTACAAGATATTCTGACTGCGCGTGAGGAGGAGAGCATCTTACTATCGCAGAAAAGGCGCAAGAGTATGATGTGAGCAGATTCCTGCATCTCACGTAGAGGGATAGGACCACGTACAAGCAAAAAACCGAAGAATAATCGATTATCAGAGGTCCAGGAGCAAGCGCTTTTGCGATATATCCTATCTTTGGACGAAATAGGGCATTCGATACACTATAATCAGATTAACGAGGTTGCAAACAACATGCTCAGGGCGGACAACAATTCTGCGCCAGCTGTAGGTTAGCACTAGGTTTAACGCTTCGTAAATCGACATCCTGAGCTTCATAAAGCAAAGCAAAAGCCCTTAGAGCTTGAGAGAAAGCTTGCTTATAATCCTGATATGATTCAAAACTGGTTTGAGCATTTTCAAGCACTTCGAGAAGAGTATAACGTTTTTGATGAAGATATCTGGAATTTTAACGAAATAGGCTTTTAAATAGGAGTAAGGAAGTTGTAGTAGATAGTGACCTCTTTATGTATAAAGCGGCTTTACTTGATTTTGAATAACAATCATAAATACGTAACAACTATTAAGGCAGTTAGTATAACAAGAGTTATTATTAAACTAATGCTTATCTTACAGGGCAAGGTCTATTTAAAGCGTTTTTATTAAGATCTTAAGGATAAGATTCTTATAAGCTTATCAGAGACTAGATACTCAAATAATAAGCTTGCTTAAGCGTATATCTAATATTTTGAACATTAAAGTTAATATATAAGTATTAGCGCATATTAAATTCTTTTATATAATAGTTATAAGAGCTATTTAATATAAGAGATCCTCAAATTTTACAAACTCTAAAATATTTATATCTTTCTATTTTCTTTATATGTTACATACTTTCTTTAGCCACTTAATGTTATGCTATTTCAGTTATATAAATACTAGCACACTTAAGCTATTAATTAAGCGACTTGTACAAGATATAATAAATTTGATAAACTCGAATTTCTTATAACTATTTATAGAATTCGTTAATCAACGTTCAAAAAGGACGTTATTCGCTCTTTATTTTGCGAATGCGGACTTATTCTATATAATCTATAGATTGCGCTTGAAAAAGTCAAGAAATATCTACTTCCTCCTCCTCTGTGACCTTCTACACCTCCTGAAAACGAAATTCAAACTCCTGAGACGCCTTTAACAGCTTGAGCACTCGAAAAGCAAGCTATTCAGCTAGAAAACGCAACTCCGAGTCGACAGAAGTTGATACAGCAGAAATTCATTAAGGGCGCTCTAATCCAGGCCAAGACTGCTGTACAACTTCAGAAGGATTTAGAGGCTTCTACTACAGCTGAAAGAGAGCGAAAAGAACAAAGATCTCAAGCGCAACGTCAGCTACAAAAAGGAGGAGTTTTATTGGCTGCGCAGGCTCGAAATATGGTCAAACAGCGCGTAGAAGAGGGTGGTACACAGCTCCAGAGGGCCCTATGGCGAGAAGAGGACTTACGAAAAGAGTTAGAAGATGAGCGCCGCAAGCTCTCAAATTTGCAGTGGAGCGTCGAAAATGGCTTCCCACCCGTTGAGGAGTAATAGTTTCCTAATTAAGCGAATTCTACGTTGTCTATACTCATTCAAAGTCAACTGTGCGCATCAAGATGAGCGTTACGGTGGTATGAGCGTTACGGTGGTATGAGCGTTACGGTGGTATGAGCGTTACGGTGGTATGAGCGTTACGGTGGTATGAGCGTTACGGTGGTATGAGCGTTACGGTGGTATGAGCGTTACGGTGGTATGAGCGTTACGGTGGTATGAGCGTTACGGTGGTATGAGCGTTACGGTGGTATGAGCGTTACGGTGGTATGAGCGTTACGGTGGTATGAGCGTTACGGTGGTATGAGCGTTACGGTGGTATGAGCGTTACGGTGGTATGAGCGTTACGGTGGTATGAGCGTTACGGTGGTATGAGCGTTACGGTGGTATGAGCGTTACGGTGGTATGAGCGTTACGGTGGTATGAGCGTTACGGTGGTATGAGCGTTACGGTGGTATGAGCGTTACGGTGGTATGAGCGTTACGGTGGTATGAGCGTTACGGTGGTATGAGCGTTACGGTGGTATGAGCGTTACGGTGGTATGAGCGTTACGGTGGTATGAGCGTTACGGTGGTATGAGCGTTACGGTGGTATGAGCGTTACGGTGGTATGAGCGTTACGGTGGTATGAGCGTTACGGTGGTATGAGCGTTACGGTGGTATGAGCGTTACGGTGGTATGAGCGTTACGGTGGTATGAGCGTTACGGTGGTATGAGCGTTACGGTGGTATGAGCGTTACGGTGGTATGAGCGTTACGGTGGTATGAGCGTTACGGTGGTATGAGCGTTACGGTGGTATGAGCGTTACGGTGGTATGAGCGTTACGGTGGTATGAGCGTTACGGTGGTATGAGCGTTACGGTGGTATGAGCGTTACGGTGGTATGAGCGTTACGGTGGTATGAGCGTTACGGTGGTATGAGCGTTACGGTGGTATGAGCGTTACGGTGGTATGAGCGTTACGGTGGTATGAGCGTTACGGTGGTATGAGCGTTACGGTGGTATGAGCGTTACGGTGGTATGAGCGTTACGGTGGTATGAGCGTTACGGTGGTATGAGCGTTACGGTGGTATGAGCGTTACGGTGGTATGAGCGTTACGGTGGTATGAGCGTTACGGTGGTATGAGCGTTACGGTGGTATGAGCGTTACGGTGGTATGAGCGTTACGGTGGTATGAGCGTTACGGTGGTATGAGCGTTACGGTGGTATGAGCGTTACGGTGGTATGAGTTAACTCTTTTTAATACTTATTTAAAAGCCTGTTTCGTTAAAATTCTAGATATCTATATTCTATATCAAATATCTCTTTTAGAGCGCTTAAAAACGCTTAAACTAGTTCAAAATAATATTAGAATTATAAGTTAGCTTTTATTTAAGTTCTAAGGGCTTTTGTTTTTAGCCTTATTGTTAGGGCTCAACTGGTTAAGACAAGTCTCAACTAGAAGCTGGGTCCAAAGGGTTGGTTAGGTAGAACAGGAAGTGCAGTAAACAATACTAGAATGTCTTCAACTTAGGTATAAGCTGATAACATGAGTTAACTACGAAGACTATGAAACTATCTGGGAAATGAGCGTGCTTATATAGGCTAAGAGATTCGTGCTCATGGCTGCTCACTCATGAGCGCTTGTGAGCGTTGCTCATCAGTCCCTCCTCACGAACACCTTGCTCAAGGTTGTCTCCGCATGAGCGTGTCCTTTCGCCAAGCCCCTTGGGCTTGGTTAGTTCCAGGGTCTCCTCACACAGGGTCCGTGCAGCCTCCAAGGCCTGTCGGTACCTAGTGTATTCACGTGCTGTAACACTATCCCCTCCTCTCCTTAGCTTGGTCCCACAAGCTAAAAGAGTGTGTTGTAACTTCTTAGGATTTTCTAATTTCTCCTTCCGTAATGCCTTTATCTGAATCTCGCATCAGCAAATCGAAGTCTCGTGTTCAGTGTCAGGCTTTGTCTAAGAAGATAGCCCTTTAGGGTTGTCGTGTTGATATGCCGTGTTCGGTATGCGATCGTGACAAGAAGCCATGTTTCTTTTCGTCACATTCCTCGAAGTGTTTGTACTGTACAGCGAAGGGTATTCCTTATGACGGAAACTATTCAGAAGATGCGTTCCAGAAGCTTAAGTCTGAGAAGCAAAAGCTGCAACAGGCTCTTCAGGCTCTTTACGCGTGTTAACGCTAGGACGCTTAAGAGGCTAAGAGTCTTGATCGTTATATAGAAGCGCTTAAGAAGGCTCAAGGTGCGATGATCGCTTAGGAGGCTCATTTCTTAGAACAGGAAGAGCTCGCTCAAGAGTCGCAATCTAATGTTGTCAGGGTCAACACCTTTAATAAGCAGGAGTTGGCTGCTCTGATATCTTTTTTGCCTGATCCGGGTTCTAGTAGTAGTAATTCGCAAGTGTCTCAGGGCTAAGGTTTGTTTCTAGTTCCTATATACTTTCTGAGTCTGTATATCTTGACTATTTAATTAGATAATAAGGTTTACTATTAATATTCTATTTGTCTAAGACTTTTTTTACCTTATACTCTTAGTTCTGAGTTTTATTATCTAATTAAATTTCTGTAAGTCTTGCGTTCTTTAGTACTAGTTCT